GACGTTGCTGCGGCTGTTGACGGGACGGTTATGATGACGACGACGACGACGGCGACGGGGAGTTGGAGATGTCGAGTTGACTTAAACGAGAGACGAAAGAAAAAAGATTAATATATTTGTTACGTAGAAAGAATGTATTCAAAAACGGATGGATTCTACGCCAAACGTCTTTGGGTCTGTTTGGTGCGAAAATGCGTGAGATGGAGTGGCAGAATGAGAGTGTGAGAGTGGGTGGTGGTGATTCCGGGAAATGAGTTCGCCTTCATTTGCGCGCGTGTTTTCGTCCTTCCCCTTTTGGTCAGGGTTCCAAAAGGAAGGACCTGCTTCGTACAGGTATTATGTACTTGAGACTTGGGGGACTTGTGCCTACAGGGAGGCACGGAGCACTAAACCTCTGATCTTTGTGCATACGAACTGCAAGGAATCAATTTTTCCCTTGCTGGTGCTGTGCTGGTGCTGCCGCCACCCACCGTGTGTGGGCGCTAAACAGTGAGCCGAAATTAGCATCAACAGGCAAGTTTCACTCTCTCGCGAACCGGCTAAGGTTTTTTGGCCTCAAACAAGAATTTACGCGGTTTTACGGTAGAAATAAAGTTGCTCCCTCCAACTGTGAGTGTGTCAAACTGTCAAGCCTCCTTCGGCATTCCGTGGTGGGTGGCGTACGCGTGGTCTTCAGGATGTTCATTTATGTAGGTCGAAAGCTTCATATATTGCTTGCACCAGCCCAGCGCCTTAGGAGAAATTACCTACAGTGCAGTTACAGCGCTATTTCTTTTTTACTGGGTCTCCGCTATGAAAGTGCCTGCATCTGGTGGATAGGTAGCCCAGTAACAATACAAGCTGAAGTCCCAAATTATGCAACTGTGCTGTGCTGTGCTGTGCTGCGCTCCGTTGGCAACCAAGAAGACAGCCCTGGAGAGTGTGCTGTGCAGTTGCAGGTACTCAAATGACTTGAATGCTACAAAGTCAGTACCTTGGATATTCACCTTGCTTGACTTGGCCAAGCTGGACCTTTGCTTGCTGGAGAACGCAACATACCTCATTGTGTTGCATCTGGCAGACGCCACAATCACACTCTCTGAGGCTGATTATGTACGTATCCTCACCTACTTGTCCGCCACTGTATTATCGAGAAGCCCGTCTCCACAACAACCGCAGCTGCTGCACCGCCGACTGATTGATGAACTGAATTACGAGATGGAGAACTGGGCAGCATACCGCCTAAAAATGATGTGATGGATACTTGTATAGTCTTTGCATAATGCAGTAGCATCATTTAGTATTAAATTAATTAATAAATTTCGAATTTTAGTCCTCAAGATTTTGTCTTCCGTTATTACCTTGGACACTATCTAATACTTACTAGTATCTTATAGCCAGCACAGCGCGCTGCCACAGAAGCACTTATCCGCGGCCCGCACGTGACTTTGACGTTGGTGACGACTCTATAGCTTCGTCATCCAGCTGCCCGCCCCATCAGCCAGCTACCAGTGCGACCATCAACCAAATCTGACCTTCAGCCTTAACCATACACCTCCGCGACTTGCTCCCTCACCCTGCCTGATTTTCATCACACAAAACCGCTCCGAACCACCACTACTCACTCCCTCGAATCTACACCTAAGAACTCACAACATGGAGGAGGAGCGCCTCTGGAAGTTTCGGAGACCCGATTGGTTGAACACCATCTGGGCTCGCAATGCTGGCGTATACGGTGCTGGTGCTCTGGTACGTTTACTTCATTCTTGAGGCCTCTCTAGCCATCGCGGAATGCCCTCTGTCTATACAGGGGCTCGAAAGCGATGTAGCCGACCCTAGAATGACGAAACACTGACCTATTCTGTTTGCCTTAGTTCTCACTCGCCTTCTATGTCATGCTCGACTCTGCCGTTTGGTCCAAGTCTCCCAAGAATGCCTCCGATGTTCACGTCAAATTCGTCGACTGGCTCCCTCTCGTCTTCTCCAGTCTCGGCATGTTGATCATCAATTCGGTCGAGAAGCAGCGCCTGAGCGCCGATTCCTTCAGCTATAGCGGATCTGGGGTTGCATGGAAGGCTAGGGTTGTGCTGTTCTTGGGCTTCGCTGCTCTTGCCGGTGGCATGGCTGGTGGAGTGACGGTCTTTGTTCTCAAGTTTGTGGTTCCCGGTGTTGCCATGCCTGCTCTCGGCATGGGTGTTGAGAACCTTGTGAGCAATGCGCTTGTTGGATTTAGGTAATGTTTAATCATCTGCTGTCATTTACGGGCCATTTTTACTAACATGATGCAGCTCTGTCGTTCTCTGGATCAGTCAAAACATGGAAGACGAGTATACCTACAACCTGTCCCTGTAAAGGGGATGCTTAACCACAAGAGGGAAGATTGGGTTTATCGGCGTATCTCTTTGGTCAAGGGCATTATTTCGATCCTCCGAGCGGTATTGGTGCTGGGCTTTTTTTTGGCATACTGCATCACAGCAGGTTACGTTGGCTGAAAGGTCTCAATGGGTTTTTAATGACAGGCCCCTTGATGCATGAAATTTGGGCCTTATGACGCGCGTATGTTTATAAGAGTTTTTTTACGATGAGAAGTCGAGACATGTAAACTAGGATTTGGTTGTTTTTCATACAAGTGTAGGGATATTCAAATGTTCAGTCTATCAAACTGGTGGTGTTCTCGTTATTTCAGATGCTACATAGTAGTTTCCATTTCAACTCTACTCCTATAGCTACCTGGTAAGCTCCAAGGAAACAGCCAGCAGGTGGAGCTTTCGCAGCGGCGGCTAAGATAAAGATGCACGACTACGGAGCACCTGGCTAGTGGCACCCCTCCATCAAACATCCCACTCCAACATCTCCAACCCTCATCTTATACATGAACATTCATCCTCAAACCAATTCTTCTACTTCCAATATACCCAATCATTAACGAAGAGCTACAAAAAAAACAAAACTCATCTATAAGCACCACGCTCTCCAACCAACCATGAACGACCGCACGCGCGCCGCCACCAATGGCACCTCCCGTTCCGCTCGAACCCCAGGCCTCGCATCCACCACCTCCAGACCGAATCTCTTCCGCAGCCAGTTGATCCGCCGCCCTACCGCCAGCTCGTCCAACTCGGCCGAGACGCTTCGCCTAGACGCCGACGGCCTGTCCGACTCTTCTGAGATTGTGGTGCGCGATCAGCACGGGGAGATTGAGATTGAGAACCCGCCTACTCCTATTATAGATGATGAGGATGAGCTGGCGGCCATGGAGGATCAGCAGGTGCTTGAGAGTATGACTTCTTTTATTTATTTATTTATTTATTTGATTTGATATACTTTTTTCTTTCTTTTTGGGTATACGAGCTAATTGGTTTGGTAGAAGAGAAACAGCGTTTGGCTGAGGCAGTCAAGGACCATCAGGTCAGCCATAGCTCCGTTTCCAATCAGCCAGAAGGTAAGTCTTGCCTACTATACAGCCTCTTTTGCTTAGACCCTACATCATGTCCTTGCGACTAATCAGTTTATCCAGACCTCATCGAAGCTGTACGAGTAAGCCTCAGAGCCAAAGTATCCGCATTAGCCGAAGACAACTGGATGTTCGAGCCCGAGGAGCAGACTCGCGGATGATGGTATTTTGTCTCTATATCAATGACCGCTGTCTAAACGCCCAAGGAAAATTATGGTACATCATCCACACAAGCTGCTGAGCCGGAGGTTCTGCTAGTCCAAACCCTCGGCAGCTGGGGCATCTGTACCGCGCAGCCCTCGTCGCTGTGGAGGCGGTGCTGCCGCGCCGCCTCCACCACCAAAGAGCCCGCTCATCATATCCATTAGCGGGTTGCTCTGTCGCGGCTTGGTTATTCCAAAGTACATCTCTGCAATCATCTCCAGCGACTCCACCCACGCCTCGGCTTCATTGATCTGCGTCGCATATTTGGAAATAAGGCCCTTGTAAACCTCGGGAGCTCCGCGCTGGACGGCCAGCAAGAGCAGGCCGAGAAAGTTGAGGAGCGGTAGGCTAGGGAAGACACGGAGGTCTGAGTTTGCGCTGGAAACGTCTTGGACACCGATGGACGCATTGTCGTTCATGAGGGCGCTGGTGAAGAGTCGGTAGCAGGTTGATGCGGCTCGGACGTTGCCTATGAGGAGATAAGGGAGGACAGCTCGGGCGGCGAAGTGAGGTGCCATGTGGGGTTCTCCCTCTTTGTACCATTCGTACTCCATCTTGAGTAGGACCTCTGGGGAGTCCTTGGTTCCCAATATCAAATGCCGCTCGGCTTCGTATGTGTCGTGTTCTTCCGCGTATAGTGATCCAGCAACGTGATGTAGCTCGGGGTCACCAGCAGGATAATCGCCAAACTTGGCAGACCACCTAGCACTCGTGTGTCAGTTTACCGCCCATCAGTTGTCCCGCCACGCCTTGAACTTGGCAACATACCCCATCATCTCGGAGATAAACTTCTTCCTCGTCGGCTCCTGCGGATCAAACAGCCTCAGGCATGTTAACAGCCTCCCCTCGTCGTAGAATCCGGCTTGAGCTCCGCCTGCTTATACACGTCCACCAGGAAGATGCACAGGTCCCCGCCGCTGCCCCCCTGCCCGGCTTTGAGCAGGGACTGCGCGACGCTGTGGAGGATGTCGATGGCCGCGGGCCAGTTCTGGGTCTTGATGTACCGCGAGGCGGCGACCCTGGTCTGCTGCTGGGCCTCATAGTAGTCGCCGTCTGCGATGCGCTCTTGTAGGCGGGCGACGATGCGGTCGACCTTGTTGGCCATGATGGGGTGTGTGCGCGGGAAAGCTCCGGGAACGGGCTTCTATGAGGGACAAGAGCACAAAAGGTAGGTTGGTGATGTAAAAGTGCTTCGTACCTAAGGGACGATCTTGGTGGCGGAGGTCGAGGTTCATGGAGGGGCACAAGGTGGGAGGTCGTCACAAACCTTGTTCGGTTTAGCTCTTCCATTTGCAAACCTGAGGTGCGCACAACACCATATAGAGTATCTTGGAACGCCATACAAACAACCAAAAAGGGATTAGCACAAGTAGTGTAGTGGTTAGCATGCATGCTTCCCAAGCTTCTATCGCTAATAAGCATGCGTCCCGGGTTCGAATCCCGGCTTGTGCAATTCGATATTCCTTTTTTGGACTATTTTGCCTTTATGTGATTTTGAAGTCGTCTCTTTTTTTCTCCCTTCGCTAATAAACTCCAAGTTAAGAAGCAATGCTAAAACTATCACTGTGCTTACATACGTACATCGCAAGGGCAAGGTCATTCTATCCCGGCGCAGGTACATATCCCCTGCCCTCTGATTCTACACATGGGTCCTGCTCAGGGGTCATGGTCCCAAGCTCCATTAATTCAACCGGTATATTCTTATTACTGTTTGTGTATCAGTGAACCCAAGTTCCCGACGACCGCCTCCCCTTCTCATACAGCCACTTGTTATTCAGTCCAACACTTGTTCGCTTGCCTCCTGACGGGCTTGGTGAAGCAGGGTCAGAAAACAGACTGCTTGCAGTGCTTGCTGCGAAAGGGTTGGTGCTTGAGCTGAACGAAGACCTCCTGTTTGCCAGACCACCACCACCACCACTCATAGTCCTCTGGAATACGGGGCTACCAAGTGGGGAGTACTGAGAGCCAGTAGGAATGGGACTTCCTCTGTTAGAGATAGGCGAGCCGTTGAGACTGGCTCTGCTTCCTACGGAGCCCGCCAGCGATGGAGTTCGTGAGTAGCGCGGAGGGGTGCTGATCTGCGCATCGGGAGTAGGGGGAATGACGGAGGGGTCGAGGCCCAGCAGCTGTCGCTGGGTCGCTGTCAAAGGGATGTCGGGGAGATCATCCTTGGGGCGAAGTAGCGGAAGACATGCCAGGCCGATCTGAATGAAGGGTAGCAGCTGGAGGGTGAACCATATCCAGCCAAAATATACGCGAAAGAACTTGGGAAATCTTGACGACGAATTAGCAACGAGCTCTGATGTGCATCCGCAATCTTCCATTCTCTCTCACATTTGCCCGTCTATTCTGAATGTTGCCACTAGCTGGACCGTCCACATGGATAGCAAAGCCACGACATTGTACGCTATACGTCGCACATTCTTCTCGGAAAAGTTGGTCTTTTCGCGTCGCCTAGTGATTTCGTCAAGCCGAGGGTGTCTCCACGTGCCGGGACTGTCCGCGATTTCTGATCCTCTGACGGGCGTCAACTTGACTGGAGTGGACATTATTCTTTGAATTACGCGAGGGGGTATTTTGTTCGCTTGTCTTTGAAGCAAGTAATGGCTGCGAACTTGTGCCTGCGAAGAAGGGCTGTTGGTGAGCTTAGGAATGTTGAAAATGGGCTGGGAGAGGGAAGAAGAAAAAAGACGTGAAGGCTGCCTACCTACAATACCGACTGCTTGTTTTCTTCCCTTTTGCCTTTGACGAGACAATGAGCCTCGAATGGCTTTTCACCTTGCGTCACCTGTGCTACTGATGTAAGGTTAGTAGTTCTTTTTGAATTGGCCGGAACCGCCTGCGAGGTGGTTACTCCAGTCGCCGTCTTCGAATGTTGATGTTGGATATGGGAAACATGAAATCCACACACACACACAGTGGACCAGCGGTAGTAGCAGTAGTAACACGAGCAACAGCAGCAGCGGCAGCAGCAGCGGTGGGTTATCAGTGCACGGGCCAGGGTCACCCCAGCCAGCGAATGGAGTCCGGGCCTGTCCAGGTTGTCCAGGTACCTGAAGCAATGCAGCCTTCAGTGAGGCACTAGCGCATCGCAACGTGCCTCTCGCGCTGGAGCAAAAGTAGTGAGTACGTACTGGGAGTAGGTGGTAGTAGTAGGTAGTACTTACTTGTATGGATGTAAGAGAGTGCGCGCCGCATCATCAAAGGCTGGCTGCCCTTTTCGAGGCTCCAGCCGTCAATCCCCCCAAGTTTTCCAGTTGCCAGTCCTTTCATTAAAACCTTCCATTGACGTCTCCACCCATCATCGTCACGAGCAGAGCACGCCCTGTTTTCCATCAGGCGATCCTTTCTCTCGTCATCTCCTCTCGCTTCGCATCATAGTATCATCAAGTTAGCCATGCACCAACTTTGATCCCATCGCCACCCATAAACGAACGAACGTGCTCTCGATTACCCAAAAATCCTTACCACATATTCGCGCCATGGCCGCCTCACCCAGCTCGGTCGCTGCCACGTCAGAGATGGATCATCCGAGCTCTCCTGCACAGCCAGAAGGCAAATCCTTTGTCTCGCGCGTCGCCGAAGAAGATGAAGATAATACAATTGTGGGCGCGACGCCAGAAGGCGGCGGCGAGAAACAGCCTCGGTCCAAGGGCAAGGGGAAGGACAAAGATAAGGACTCGCAACCGCAAATCGGCAAGATTCGACATCTAAAGAAGGAAGATGGAGAACCCCTTTGGCGAAAGGATATCCAATACGACTTTCTTAGAGCCGTATTTGATAACGAGCAGAACGTCTTCACCAACTCATATGACACGTCCCTAGAGAAACAGAACTTTGCCGACCTCTACATTGATACCATGGCACGAAGCTCCAAGACGAGCAAAGTGCTGAGAGATAAGTTGATGAGCGACAGAGAAGCCGCCAAAGGCATGGCCATGGTTTGTCTGCTGGTCAACATGGGTCGCATGAACACCACTCTCAACTGTACGTATCCCATTCCTCCAATGTAGACAATGAAGCCATGTTGGACTAACACTTTAATAGTTTTCCCCGAAATGCGAGCACAATTACGAACATACCACGCAATTCCATCTCTCCAAGCCCATCAAGACCCCCATGCCTACAAGCAGCTGCAAGATGCCCCACGACTCAAGTCTATTTTAAAAGGTGGCGCAGAAGATCGAGACGAACCAAATTCTCTTGATAAGATCAAGCAGCAGGAAATTCCCCGAACCAACCCTGTAAACCTCATTTTTGTCATGTGCAACGCTGCTCAGAAAGTCGCCGAATTGCACTTCCCCCTGAACCGCGAATTCCATGACGTCGTCATGAAGACTCAGTACACCAGCAAGTCCCGAGCAAGAGCTTTCTTATGGCTCATGTGGTTCTACCTAGAATCGGACTTTACCGAGGAAGGGTGCGAAGAAAACCCATTTGGCCCTGGCGTTGACTACGGGCTGGATGTTGCAAATCAAGGTGTACCTGAGCTAGAGGAAATGAATGAGGAGCAAGAAGCCTTGGAGAATGTGGACCCAGAAGCTGAGATTGAATTTGGTCATGAGAAGCAGAAAGTTCGTGCCACAATCTTGGAATTGGATCACCAATTCTTGAACGAGCGAGAGAAGCGTGGAAAGATTCGTCCATCTGTAGGAGACGAGGGCCCTGCAATACTTCCTCGCATTCGACCATCCAAACACGAGTCAGATATAGAGAGTACAAGGTCGACACCACCCCCCAGATTAGCTCGAACTCTGGCAGTTATCAACGGCCGAAGATCGATGCCCCTCAAGTACCAGATCTTTGAGGGCGCTTCACCAAGCCGTCACGGAGCAGCGGCAGAAGGTGTTGTTGCAAGGAAGCCGCGACCCCCTACAGCGCACCAATTAGCCGTCGAGCGCAACAGAAGCCAGCGAGTTGAGTACATCCTCGATCGTGGTCTCCGCAGACAGCATCACAGAAGCCGAAAGGTTCGGCGACAGGAGGGCGCCATCTTGAGGGTGTACAAGCGATTACAAGTCTCACAGATTGACCCCTTTGAGGACAGTGATGGTGAAGGGTCTACTCCACTAAACCTACCTCGGAGTGGTGACAGGGGTGCAGGTATCTTCCGAGAGCGGGGTGTGGGTGGCCTCTGTCTGATGTCCTCGGAAGCAGACGATTATGGTGAGGAGGTGGGTTCGTATGCTGCATCCGTACGACGATCAACACGTCGCTTGGCCCGTTGGAAGGGCCGCGAAGCCGAACTTGGTGTGATACCGACAGTCAAGAAACCCAAGCCAGCTCCAGCTCCCGATGCTGACAACGGCGAACATGCGGATGATGGGGATCAGACCATGATGGAGTCGAGTCTTAATATCAATGGGGGTGTTTCTAAACGTGGCGGCAAGGATGTTAATGGCGATATTTCTATGATGGACGACATGGATATGGAAGATGGGGATCAGACGGCCCTCCTCGCTGATGATGAGGACCGTGGTGACGAGGAAGGCGATGACCCAGACAAGACAGAGGCTTTGGGAGATTCAGACATGGAGTGAAAATGGAAATGGGGTGGAGTCTATATGTACGATTGGAGGGTATCTGGGTCACAGGATGAGGATGGATGGATTGTACACAAGAATCATGGCGTCCGGGGTTACAGATTACCTATGTCTAGAGGCGTCAGCATTTCCGAGCCTTTGTTTGCTTTGTAATGATATTTCAATTCAACAACTTTGAATGTTTCAACAGCCTGCCCACACACACAGAGAGAGAGAGAGAGAGAGAAGAGGGGGGTTCCGCCAGGTTGAAATTAGGCAGGCTATACTACCTAATATGACTTGGGTGTCTACAAAGTAGCCAGTCATGGCACACGATGGGTATTGAGGGTATCCATATCAGGTATTACTACATGATAGCCCGGCCGGAAAGGCGGTGTCGACCCGGAACGCCGAGGCGGATATGAATGGGCCCATTCGGATGCTCAAGTCTCCGAGCGGTGAGCGGTGGCAGAACCCTCAACATACTGTTGCGTACGCACTCATGATTTGAAGCTGTTGGGACCTTTATAAAGCTTTTGTCTCTTGGTTGAAGCGGTTGCTATCCTCTAGAGATTCCCTAGAACGACAAATTGAGATTAGATTGACTCGTTTCTCTTTCTGTTGCTGCTACCATGCCGTCTAGCAACGCTTCCCCGAGCATCAGCCCCCTGCTGGGCATCCTAGCTCTGCTCACGGCGCTGCTCACCTCGGTCGTGTACGTTGTGGAGCAAAACCTGAATCAGTTCTACATCTTTGACACGGATCACCTGCATGACCTGACGAAGCGAGGGCTCGCGGAGCATGGAAACAACACCAGGGCGGTTGTCAGCTACATCGTGGCGGAGTTGAATGACAAGGTCGGGGCGCATATCAACCTTGAGGAGGACTGGGTGTTTAACAATGCTGGTGGTGCCATGGGTGGCATGTACA